AGCTTCTATTTTAAAAAGTTTTTTAAAACTAAATGTGGACCAAAAAGTTAATCCAAATGAAGTATTTATTTACCACTTCAATTATTTTATTGCTTAATACCTCCCACGTCATATAATCACAAGAACTCTTAGCATAAACTGGTTAGTCAATAATGTTCAATAGAACATTGGACTGAGTGCTAAGGGTCCAGAGTCAAGTGGATCTTCAAACCAGTGAGATCCATTTTTAGGTATTCATAATTGTATTCCAATCCACACTTTTCTTTTGGGGTTGCTGTGATTAATTTTTTGAAACGTTAGTACTTACATTGCTACCTGCATCGTGATTTATTTGCTTCTCTGAAACAGTTTTCAGCCACGGATCTGTTTTTTGAAACTAGTGACAATCACCCCAGGCTCAAGTGGGACCATTTGGCTGATGGTGAATTCAGGGATGTAGGTGCTGGAGTGGTGAGCAGGATCTAGCTGGTGAATATGGAGAGGCTGTGGTAGGCCACCTGGTGGAGCTTTGTGAAGCACCAGTGGCTTGCAGACTACAGTTTGAGAATCCCTGCTCCGTTGAACCAGGTTGCTAAGATCCTGATGGCAGATTTAACTAAATGATTGGCTAAATTTATAACTTGAGATCAGACAGCAATTATGGATGGGGAACAGATGGAACATTCCATCCGAAGAGTATTGAATACTATTCTTTTTGAAAACTACCACATCCTTACCCTTGTTTCTTTCATTAGATGCTCATAAAACATTTGATCAACTAAGTTTGCTTCCTTTGCTTATTTAAAAGGTTAAAGAGAGTTCAGTTTCTCTTTTTTCTCTCCTTTATAAGGGGTCTAAAAGCAATATTAACAGTAAGATTCCAAGCCATTTAAATGGAAAAATGAGGTTGTCTTCTCTCTCTGCTTTAATTGGTTATTGTTGTAGAATCCCTAACGTGCATGATACAATTGAATCCCTTAGAAGATTGTGAAATCCACAGTGTTACTCATGCTATCAGTATCTTTCCTGATGATATCTTTTTCTTTATAACGAATCTGGAAGAGGTAATTCCTACCCAAACAGTCCTATTGAAACAAAGAGCAGAACAAAAATAATAGGTTGAAATTAAAAGGCAGGAGATTCAGGATGAAAAGCAAGAGGAATTTCTTGATAACAAGACTTGTTGAGCAATGGAACAGCTTGCCTAGGATAGTGGAGGACTCCTACTCCCTTGATATTTACAAAAAGGAATTTGGGTACCACTTGTTGGGGTTGGTTTAGCGAATTTATGAGCAGGAGTTCGGACTAGAAGCCTTCAAAGGTCCCTTCCAAATTATACCATCTACAATTCTTGAATTTCTTCTCATGATGTGTTTATCTGGGAGCATTTCTGCGTCATGTCACACATGTTGAAGTTTCTGTTGGCTGTTGGAATTGTTGAAGGATACAGATTGATGAGGCAACACAGTGCTTCATTTAAAGCATTGTCAAAGCAAAGCACACCTTCAAATCTTTGCGTAGGCCTATTATTTCTACAGCCCTTTTTGTAACCTATTTTTTCCTCTTTATTTACATCTAAGACAATGAAACATCTCCCTCCCACATTATCAATGTGAGACTAGGAGGAAAAAGGCAGAAAGAATGAAAATAAATGGATCTTACATATCCCAACAGACAACCACAAGAGCTGCTTAAAAAAATATTTTTGGTCTGGATTTTCAACTCACAATGAGCAGAATTTTAACTCAGGGAGGTAGTTGTGGTTATACTCATAAAGCTTTTGTATTAGGACTCTCAGTCATCTCAAGCAGCACATACCACTTTCCATAATACCTAGAAAAGGTAACTTGCATTTGCATAACCAACCCATCATCTCCCCATTCCCTCATCTTTCTGCTCCACCCCAATTTAAATCCTACATCCCAGTGTTCCTCAACCTTGGCAACTTTAAGATGTGAGGACTTCAATTCCCAGAATTCCCCAGCCAGCTGGAAAAAGGCTGTGAATGTACAACATACCAATTTATGCTACCTTTTCAAGTGTATGTGACTGTGGGAATACATACTGTGAAGAATGTAGGCAGCTTTTTCAGCTAAATTTGGAGATACATTTTATAAGAATCTCAAGTGGATGTCACCAAAATTCTGGATCCTGCTCAAGCACATGAGATATCAGAAAGACATGTTTAGTTAGATGAAAAACTAATCCTCTCCACACAGTTAGAAACTGTCGATATGCTCAAGAAATGCTACATCAGAGGAAAAAAGAAGTAAAAAGAAGAAACTGTCCTACTAGTGGCAGAGTCAGTTACAGTGGTACAAAGAAACCACATTAACAGTATTTCATTTACATTTAATTTTCTTTTAAATCAAATCCTATTTCTTTTGGTCTTATGTGCTTCCTGTGGCATGGGAACTTATGATGCTGAAGCTGTTTTGTGTCTATTTTGGATGTGATGTGATAGGAAATGGTTTGGAGTGGTTGAGAGTAAGGAATTGTAG